TCTTGTATAAAACCTCTGCTCCCGCTCCCGAAGAGGTCTTGGGGCTCACTGAATAAAACCATCCTGTTCACCCCCAAGTCCCGTGTCGCCTTCGTCTGTTCCCGCACCACCGACTGGGACAGCAGAGCTTCGCAGGGGGAGCGGCCGCCCGTTCTCTTCCCTCTCGCCGCCCAGCACGGCACCGCTCGGGGAATCGCGGCAAGGGGAGCGCATGCCGCGCCACGACAAGAATGATAAAATGACTTGAGTTTAGATTGAATATACCACTTCTCTGGTATTGCTGTGATTAATCTACATCATATTCAGTAGTTCAGATGCAATTCAGGTTGCGACTAGTGAAGTTAGGGTTGTCTAGATAGTTTATAAATTTATAAGTCTAGATAGTTTGAAGTTTATAACAAAAATCATACCAATATATTATTGTTACAAAAACATTCAAGTCAACTCAATGATAAACAGATCAATGATTAAAACAATGATCAAAGTAAAAGTCACAGTCTGGCATTTCTAATTACACTTTTAGGATGGCTCAAATTTTACCTCAGCTCTTTCTCATTACATTTTCTTATGTACCTCATTTATTTTATTACATGTATTTGATTTTCCTACCCAACAGGTCTTCATTCAGAGGCAACTGTTTCTTTACACTAACTGCAATGTACAAAGGACAGCACCGTTTCTCCTATATAGCTGCTGCTACTATATGTAGGCATTCTTATGTGATAACACTCTCCAAATAGAAACAAAAGGAAGATGTAAAAGCAAGCAATAGATAATTTCAGTTCAGCTGTCAGAGACCCTCAGAGCTCAGTGATGTAGGAAGCACAATGATTGTTTTGAAAAACATATCAAAGGCAAAAGGAAAACCTGAATGTGAGAAATGAAGTTGGAAACATGACTTAAGTCTTTAGTTTATGCACATTGCACATAACAGGTGTTAGTTAAAACCAGACTTTAAGTGAGCTGCTCTCCTACCACTTCTTTTTGCTGGATGTTACACTTTTTCACCAGGTGGCAGTATGTACAATTTTCCATTTAGTATCATACTTAATCACTCAGCAGGTGGAAAATTCAAGGCAGAATCTTACCAGCCATCTAGGTTTCCCTAGGTGATGCCAATGTGTGGTTCCTAGACATAAATAACAGTTAGCCTGTGGTGCTACAGAGCCCTCTGGGCCAGCAGTCAGCACTCACTGGGCAAGGTTATCAGGAGCAGCTGCTCAGCAGTTGCCATATGCCAGTCCCTGCAGAGCTCACATCATTTTAGACATCAGAAGGTCATGCAAGTCCATTTGCAAAATTGCTGCAAGGATGCACACCATCAGACAGGCAGCTGGCATGTGTAACAGTACGAGAAAAACCAGAAAGTTCAGAATCCCACAGGGCACAAAACTTATCCCTGTAATGCTATGTTTAAACAAACTGACATATTGTAGTCTATGTAGATCATCAATACAAGAAGGTATTGGACTCAAAGAACATACTTTTATATCTCTCTTCTGAGGCTTACAGAAAGTCTCCCATAGAAAAGAGATGCTGAATACAAACCTTGCTATTGTCACAGCTATGCACACAGAAAAGATACTGAAATAAGGCACAGTACTCAATGCAATATTTTGACAATGCAAGCAGTCCAAGGCACAGTGTGTTTGTGTATTCATTCTGGAATGTGTATTCATTCACATTGTATTCATTCTGGAAACAATCTTGTTGCAGAAGCTGAAGACCTGAGGCCAGATAAATGTTCATAATTAATTAATAATCATTGCAGCAGCAAGGGAAATAGGGAGAAAAGTAGACCTGCAAACAAAACTACAGTGGCAGCCCCATATTTAGAAAAAAACCTAGGAGCATATTTACCTTCTCCTGTTCTTGTGTCTCACATTATCCAATGCCCTCTTACACAGATCACTACAGAAATATCCAAATCAGTATATTTTACTAAACTGTCATAGCTTAAACTCATCTTGTCCAAGACTCAAGCCACCACACTTCAGTTTCTTGTGGCTGTGACACACAAGCATGCATATAGCCTGTCCTGTCATTGCTGCGTTAGAGAATAATCTTCAGCAAAGGGTTACAGGAAACAGAAGTGGTGTCTATGACACCTTAGCCAATCAAGACATAACATTGGCTTAATTGCCAGCATGCTCAAGGGTTCCAAAGCAAGCAAATTTATCTGTCAAAGACCTCCATTGAGCCTGCCACCTACAAGGAAGCAGTATAGGCTATAAGATGGACTCTTAATCAAGAGGATTCACATTTTCCTTCAATCTACTGCAATGGCACAGATTATTAGTAACTCTACAAGTCTGCAATTCGTTTTGTTATTATAGAATAAACAAACAATACAAGTTAGAGCCAGTAGATCTTGCAGAAGAAATGGTGTGATGTTAGGATTTCACCTTCAGTGACAAATATTTCTGTCCTTGCTCATAGAGAATTACCACTAACATCAGAGGGGAAGACTACCATTAGCAGCAAAGGAGATTTGGAGCAGCAGCAGCACAAGATTGTCCTTCAAAGTGGGAAAAAATCAGTAGACTGGCATTTCCCCAGGGGAAAAAAAAAAAAGAAAACCACCAACCTGGTAATAGGAAAATCCTTTTTCAAACCCCCTAAAAAAAAAATAGGGAAATTACTCACAAATGCCTTCCACTCCTCTGTGTTTTACTCTTACCTCTGTGATGTTTTCTTATATTTTCTCCTGCAGGAAAAGAACAAAATACAACTGAGATGAGAAGTCTTCACAGGCAAGAAGGAAAAAGGAGAGGGTTAGAAATCAGGAGCAATTCAGTGAAGTCACTTCTCCCATAAGATTGTCCCAAACCTGATGTAGCCATTCCCTTCTACTAACCTCAGTGGTGGTTGCTACTAAATTCAGAAGAAAAACTTGTGTTTGCTTGTATGCACATACTACCCTTTCTTGTGAGAAAGTGTTGTTGCAACTACAAAAGAAAAAATTCTTATTCTAAATGACTTAACAGGAAGTCCAAGTGTCAGAAATGTACTTGTATTTACTAGTTGTAACGTTTATGTCTCTCATACGCCATATAAGTAAGATAAGATCTGTGAAGATCCCATTAACATGGAGTAATGATATGTATCCAACCAGATTCTCTGTGGTCACTCAGTGGAAAACCCCAGTGTTTTTAGAGCAGTCTCTCTCTAAAAAGGAAGTCTAGATCCTAGCAAGTTCTCTACTCCAACAAATTCCAGATACCACATCACAGAGCTTCACTTTGTTGCACCTCTCTTGAGACCTTACAGACCTTAACCCAGGACTAGGAATGGCAAGAGCAGATAAGCATATAGGACTTCTCTGCCCCCGTGCTTACGCCGCATCAGTTACAGCAAAGGCTGTAAACCTCTTACTTGTCTTATCATGGTGGATTTTGTCTTCAACAGCAGGTAATGACACAGGCTGTCACTGCACATAGTAATGCAATACACAAAACGGCAATATACGCCTTTCTGCATAGCTGTCTGTGTGGCTGTACAGTTACCTGCAGGGGTGTATCAGCATTGTATGTTGTCTGTGAGCTGCTGTTTCTGCAGCTGTCTCCAAAGGCTTTGCACAGAGGCTGGCAAAACATGGCATTAATTTACTTGAACTCAGCTCTGCTTTTATGTTCTAAAGTAAAATTAATGATATTTAAACTTCACAAGTAGTGACTGAAACAATTTTCAATGTAGACTGTGATGAGGTGTGCCCTGTTATTTAGCAATATATTAACAGACATTCCCATCACTTTCAATGTGTAGGTAATATTGTTAAAGTAGATGTATGGCTATTAGCATCGAGTTTACTTCTTTCATTTCTGATAGCACTGTACATGGAAAATTGTAGCTAGGGTGGGCCTAAAAAAAGCCAAACAAGGAGTAACTTTATTTACAAATAAGAAACATGGCAAAATGGAATGTAGTGCTATTTTCTACTTAACAAGAGCCATGGATAATGTCTCCTCATTGTAAAATGTTTCATCCAACAAATATCTTTACAAATTGTACTTGTGGTTGTACCCACTTCTATATTCTGACCATGTTGGAATCACAAACATACTAAATAACTACTTGAAAAAATATTTCATTTACAATTTACTGTGTGAAGAATTACTTATTTAAATTTGAAATTATGCAGAGGAGTAAAAGAGAAAATATTCATAGCAGTATCAAGTTTGTAGCTTACTGATGTTAAGAATGTTGACACATAAAAGCAGAAATGCAACTGGACAAATCTTATTCTATGAGATTTTTTCATTTTCATTACAGGAAGATGAAAAGTAGAGCTTTTGTTTGGATTACTGTACATTAGGAACTTTATACTCTGACAAATAAAGACCTTCATTATGTTTTCTGACAAAAAAAATCTGCTGAAAAATAGCCCATCTGATTGGCCAGTCTAATGCACAGTAATTAGAAGATTTTATTTCCAAGAAATATAAATTTGTTGAAGTTTTAAAATGAAATTATTTGCAAGTTTATTCTTTACCCTGAGATGCTGTTATGGTTCATTCCAACACTGTCAAAACTAATTTTACTTTTACTTTTTTTACTTTACTAATTTTACTAATTTCACTATTGGTTAGTGACTTTCATATAATGTTAAAAGTGTTTCTCTTTCAGACATTTGAGCAAAGATAAAATTCATTAACTCCAGTCTTAGGGTGTTGTTTACTTTTGATTAATAGCATGACTTTTCTGATAATTTACACCTTTAGTGTTCCTTTCATTTAAGAATACTTTTAATAGATTAGAAAGCTGTCCTATCACAGATGACAGTATTAGGAAAAAAAGAATTTTCCTAAGTCATAGAAATTTTTAAAAACTTATACACAGTTTTTTATTGTTGTTATTGTTTCCACACCTGCAGTCCAATCACAAATAAATTTTACATGCACCAAATTAGTGACTGCTTTTCCAAGCAGTGACTGAATTTGCAATTACACTTGATGAGAATATAACTAGAGGAACATTTGTTTATATATTCAGTATCATTACTGCATGCACATGCTTTAAAAGAAACACCATCAGCAAATTCTGATATCCAGGAAAAAAATTCTGTATGCTTGAACTTCCAACATCTCAAAAAATAAGGTCTAACAATGCTACTCGCCACATTATTAAAAAATGGTGTTGATAGCATATAACTTTTCGTGGATAGAATATTCAACTTGTTTTTGGAAACACAGTGTCAACATCTATCTTCTTCATGGTTACAAACCACCACTTAGACATGCCTTCCATTAAAAGAGACCACTGGAAACAAAGGAATTAGAAATTACTTCTTTAATACCACAGGCAGCATCAGAGACTGGCTTGAATCAGCAACCATGTGTGCATTAACAAGAGGAAACTGGAGGGGGCTAGATTTAGGTTTGGTTTGGTTTCCGGTTTTTTTTTTTTGTTGTTTGTTTGTTTTTTGAGGTTGTTTTATTATAAGGAGTTTGTTTGTTTGTTAAAAAATATATATGTTGGACAAGATATCTTGATTTATGTCCCCAGGAGAGTCTATGAAGAGAGGAACTATCTATGAAATTGCTTTTAGCAGATGCTCTAGAATAAACCTAGGAACAGGCACACTTCCAGTCAAACCCAAGGGAATTTTCATTTTTTTTAACCAACCCAAGCTATATCTCTTTCCCAGGATAGAAAAAATGAGACAGATTTAAAGGAGGTAATGTTACAGATTTCCACATCTGTGAGCCATCCTGTGCTCATGCCTGAAAAGAGGCATATTGATATTATCAAATCTGTGTAAGTTCAGTTTCTTTTCTCAATGCACATGTCATGCTCAGACTGTCACATCCATTCAATTCCTGTTACTCGCTGTGGAATGTATTATTCAGAAGTTTATATTTAGCTTACACTAAAAAAAAATAATTAGAACAAAGTAGGGGTATTTTTCATGCTTAAGAGAATTATCAAGTGACTCACATTAGGTAGGCCCTCTACAACCAGTGTAAACTAAAAAATAACTTCACTGAACTTAATGCAGTTACACTTGCATGAGTATAGTATGAAGTGAGTCAGTCCTAGTCCAAGAAAGCTGCTAGAGCCTAATGGAAAAAAAAAAAAAAAGCAGTAAGACACTTAAAGATAGGTATTTTGTAATTGAAGTGGTAGGTAAAATGAAATTTTTAAACTCAGAAACCATAAAGTTAACAAAAATGTTGAGTTGACTATTTCAGTATCTCCTCTTCTGAGAAGGAATTCTTCTTGTAGCCAGAGAAATAAAGACAACGTACTGGCCCAATATAAAATTAGGACATATTTTTGAAGGTATTTAATCTTCAATAAGATGTAGATTGCTATGCTGTATGGCCACAAAATTCCCATTGGAATAAACTGATATAAAAAATTTATCTTTGTGCTTTGATGCCCATCAACTTCTTCAAGGTTGTCTATTCACAGGGTTATGTTTCTAATTTTGCAATTTAATTCCATTGCACCCTCAGCCAAATTGCTTTTCCCTGTATTTCCCCTTCTGGCACTTTCCCATTAATTTATTATCTCTTCAGGGTTTTACACAACAATTCATTACTTGAGCCCAAGTAAAACTGCATTGGAGTTCTGCAAAAATGCCCCTGCCCTTCCTCTGCATCTAGGAACCTGGAAATTAAGAGAATATAATATAAATATGCAAAATCCATGCATGCATTTGGTAGTGATGTTCTCAGACCTTAGTTTTCTGAGAGTTGTGTGAGTCAACTGAGTAGGTACAGAGAGAAGTGAGGACAGAGAGGTTGGGGGAATTAAGTAATTCTGTCAGCTGACTTGGTTTTGCCTCATTATCATACAATTCATAATATCAACTAGCTATATGAATTGCTATTTCACTCCTACACAACCTCTGAAAAATTACCTAAACACTTAATTATTTTTACTCATAATAGTGGTTTGGTTAATATGGTGTTATTCCACATTCATTCCACAGGGTTTGGTATTAATGGCATCTTTTCAGGATATGGATAAACCTGTGGGTGCTGCAGAAGTAATAGAGGGATCTTTGCCTAGTTTCATCCTTGAAAATATATACTAGAATTTGAAAGTAAATCTCATACTCTGCTAGAGATTAGGGGCTATATCTACCCTTGGAAAAAGGCTCTGCAGGCTTCTACCTACCTTCACTGTAGTGATCAGACTTAGGATACCAGCTGGTGGATGTGTGACTGATGGCCTAAGATACAACATTTGAATGCGGATGACACTTTTGAATAGATTGATATTCCCAGTTCAGGAATGAGAAGTGTGAGAAACTCTCCTTAGGCTGCTGAGACAGTGGAATGGCTCAATTTTAAGGCTGAAGCTCACAATAAGCACTCACAGTGGCTTCATCTAATGTGTTTTGTTTTGCTTGGCTGTTGCAATAAGTTCAGAGGGTACACATAGTTGGTCAAAGCAATTGGATCTTTTGAAGTCCCTAAAACTCAGTGACCTGTGCTCTCTTTGTACCTCCAGTTGAGAGTGCAGAAGCCTAGATCTAGCATAGCATGTGTTTTTGGGCTGGATCTGTGTTTCTTACTGAAAAAAGAGGGCAACAACTTTTTAGGGCACCAATAGACTAGCAAAAAATGAATCTGCTGCAGTGGTTTAAAAAGTTATTGCCAGCAGCTGCCTTGTATGCAGTGCCCTGCCACAGGTCCTCACCCCCACAGCCTGGCTGGCAGACATGAGCACACCTTCAAACATCAGTTGCCTCCATGC